ATAATTTATTTTTTTGTACACTATTTCAAAAGCTTTTATATTAGGTAAAATTATATTTAATGAAATCCTTTATCGAGTGTTCACTGTTTAATAAGACGCCACAAGTAACAAACTAGCAATCGTCTTGTCATGTGAATTCAAAAGTATGTTTCTACTTGCTTTGTTAGACCAATTAACTTACTTAAAATTGCTTGAATTACTTAAATTTCAAGTAAATTAACTGGTCTAACGAAACTGGTCTAGTACGTGAAAACGTTATAGTACATATCAAATCGAAATGGTGTTATATATATACTTTATTTCTCATTTTGCTTTAGAGTTATGTATATAAATTAATCTAAATTTATTATCCTTGGAAATACCACGACATAGGTCGTCTAATTTGTTGACCACAGTTGGCTTAACCGAACTTTAGGCTTTCAATGAAAGTGCGAACTTTGTATGGTTTTTTTTGCCACGAATTGTGTGGACTGATAAGCATTTTCTCGATATGAATAACTCTATTTCTTAGTTTTTGACTTTTACTGAATATAGCATTTTAACATCCATTTCTTAGAAAAAGCTAATATTAATCTGGAAAGGTTCATTTTATTGAATTAAGTCTTTTCTTCACTACAATTTCCGGCTCACCATCTTTATAGTAGGTTATATTACGTTATACTAGAGATTTTAGAAATCCAATAAGGCTCATTGGCCAATTCTGTTACCATATAAAAAATTAGAGGCTTAAAAACCATCTTGAACCTTTTACAAAGTCTCAAATGCTTTTTTCTAAAAAAAAAATATTAGAGCTTACCAATATCTTCTAGAAAATAACGCTCTAAAATAGTTAGCCGACACTGTGCTTGCGCTAGACTATGACTAAGCCAATGTGAGCCACTTTCTTTGCTTTTTGCACAACTGCCACAGAAATCATTAAACTAGAGATTCATTCTTCTAGCTAACCGGCTTTGAACCGTTAATAAAACTGCCACAGGACTGATATTTTTATGAGGCCTCTCAATGCAATTGCAAGAGTTTTTCTTAATAAAATGGGGCGAACTCGCATATAGATGCCTGCAAAGCGTTGAATTATCTTCCCATCTTGCATTAAATTGCTCATATATGAAGTATTTTTCATCTCACTTCAATAAATATTCTGTTTTATTCTGAATATATTACTAAGCTGCTCCGTTTCACCTAATTTCTAACTGCTTAAAGGAATTCTCTCTACGACACTATATAGCAATAAAGATTTATTTGACTACGAGAAATGGTAGTAATCGAAGATATCTTCAAAGAAGATATGAAGCAGTTTTCGTCTCACAGCAATAATGATTTTGTGTGAACTTTCTGTTATTTGTAATATATTCTGAAGATACTCCGTGCCTCCGTATTGTTAACTCACATTTAAAAGTTTTTCTGCGCTACTGTATAGAAGTACAAATTTGTTATCCGAAAAATGGTAGTAATTGCTAAGAGACGTAAAACTCTTAGCAGTCTTTCGATTCTCAATATATTCCTAAGCAATCCCGCTCCACATAATCTCTAACGGCTTGTGGAAATTCTCTCTGTGACCCTACGTGGTGTGACTATTTCAAATATGGTGTAAAGCACTTTTCATTTCACAGCAATAAAGATTTGGGAGATTTTTCTACTATTTCAAATGTATTCCTAAGACACTCCATACCATTGAACCCCTAACTCCTTGGCGAAACTCTAGATTCTAGTGAAGAGAAGTATACATTTATTTGTCGAGAAGTGGTAGTAATTAAAGATGATTGCAAAGAATATATGTAGTACTTTTAGTTTTAGCAATAAAGATCTGGACAATCTTTCTGTTGTTTCGAATGTATTCTAAAGGTGCCCCGTGTCATTAGGGATGAACTAATCTGTTTGCAAAATTCACTCTACGCCATCATATTTTTATTTAGTGAGAAGTGGTTTTATTTAGTCAACTTTAAATAATTTATTGGTAATAATATATTTAAATAAAAACTAACATGAAAAAATTGATTTAAATTTAAAATAGAAATCGATCAAACTTTAGAAAGTTTCCATTTAATTAATAATTATTTAGTAAAAGTGTCAACAAAACTCGGAAAAAATGTCGAATCTCTCAGGTTAATCATAAAATTGTCACGAAAGTGTCAGTGCACTTCCAACATGCCAACTAAAATGCATTCTGCCATCATAAAAGCATTGCAAACAAACTTAATATGTAGGAAAAATAGTAAAAAAAAACAAATATTCAAAAAAGTTGCAAAATTCGTTACAAATTCTTCAGAAAAAATGCATATCGAAATGGTGGAAAATTTAGCAAAAATCGACTGACATTTCACACTTAAACTTAAACTGCTCAGGCAAAAGACAATAAGGAACGTAATTGTTTGTATTAGAAATGCCGTGACACTCGAATTGTGTAGCAATTGCATCCGCAGAGCGACTCCAGCGAGTTACGATACGATCAGAGTCGCTTTGGAGCAGTAACAAGCTTTAATGTCCTTAGTTGCAGCTTCAAAAACTCTAGTTTGTTACAAATTTTGGAAAACAAATGCATTTTATGCAGCAAATCACTAACGAGCGAAAACAACGAGTCCAACAACACCAACCATAATCTTAACAGTGATCGAAACCAAGCAAAAGACCAAGACCAAGACTTCAGCTGGGTCTACTCGTACCCAGCATCAATGCAGCATCAACTGATGCAAGAGGTGTGAACTGTACGGCAACACCAATGAGTGCACCAAGTCTTCGCAGTACCGTGAAGTGTCAATTTGTGATTTTTGCAACACCTTTGAACCAAACAAGTCCACACAACAACAATTGATGGCAACTTAAATGAGAAGAACTTATCAATAATGGCTTCATACTAGTACATTAAGCAATTCTTGCTCACACAAATATTGCAGAGATGTTTAATCAAGTGATGTATGGCATGTATGATTCCTCAGTCAATAACTCTGACACATGCATGGTAACAGTGACATGTCGACAGTACCATAGAGGAATAGAACCAAGTGTGAATTTCTCCAAACGATATCTGTCGAAATTTAATGATTTTCTGATAATTAGTCTACAGATTATATCGTGTTTTCACTAGTGCTTTTCGTATTCGCATTTGTAAAGTATTTGAAGAATCCGTTTAATCGAATAGTAAAGGAACTCTTCAGAGTTGGAAAAATACCGAAGTCTCCGAATAATTTCACTACGCATAATAACCGCAAATCCGATTTTATTTTAATTGCAACTTCGGAGAGTTCGTTGCTATACGATTAATCGAATAACTTCGGTTTTTGAAATATCCGAACAGTACCAGTTTCCACTGTAGCTAAAACTACTTGTGTTAATGAAATCGAGATTTGGTCGTTTCCATTGGTATGACTTGATTTATGCATATGAAATAGCTTGTTTGTGTAGATATTACATATGAAACATATGACAAATATTTCAAATATTGGTAGTTTCCCTTGTGGGAAATCTATTTTTAAGGGTTTTTAAGGGCTCATTTATATGAAAGCTCTTTGTATGACAAATTATCCTCATTAGCCACCTTGGTTTTACATTTACATAGCAACCACAATTCTGTAATATTGAAAATAATCGGTAAATCAGAATTTCATGGATTGTTGATCAAACCTTTTTTTGGAATAAAATACCGTTAAAGCCTAGCAATACCTCGATAAGCGTCATGGAAGTACTATAATAGGAAAATCAATTAATAGTGACATGCGAGTGGAATTTAAATGCTACAACTGTATTTAATTTAATTGATGACTCTAAATACTCTGTTCCGCTCAAATCTGATGTTATTCCGGAAAGGAACAAAAGCTCTCAAAATAGTTTCGACAGACATAGAGATCTACAGATATCAGAAGAGAACATGTTTAAAAATTTATAAGAATATTTTAGTATGCATAAATGGTTTCGGAATGAACGGAGACGTAGGGGGAAGTATTTGAGAATTAATTCGAAGTTTAGTTGATAACAAATAATTAAAAAGAACCAATTTATTATCTATCTAATATCTAATATTTCTCTTTGTACATGCCAATGAAAAGGGAGTCACTTTTTTAAAAAAAAATTTTCTTATACGAATGTTTATGGAAGATTGCAGCCACTTTTAGCAGATGCAACCCTATTCCAATAATGATCGGCAGAGACAAGAGCAGATAGGTTTAGTATTTAGCAATGCTAAATTTGTCAAAGCCAAAAAGCATGGACTAAGTTATTTGGCTGGGAAGTGTTTATTTTGAAAGATGTGGGGTTAGCGCAAAAAGTGTGGTAAGTTTAGCTAAGTGTATCTTCTAATCATCTAATTAAATAAACCTTATGAAATAGTAGGTAGTCAAATGGATAATTCTTAGTATATTTAACTACAACTTGTGAAGAAATCTAGGAATATAAACTTTATAAATTTATACTTTCTATTCAATTTTTAAATAGGAAACAAAACGATAAAAATTCTAGGCAATAAAAAAAGAGGTTTTAACGTTCATTTGTAAGATCTATCTAACTTTACGAAGAAACTAATTCCATACTAGCTGTGTGGATACTCCAGTATATATGGCATATATATTTATATATCAATGATTTAACATGGATATGTTCACATAACCATAAAAAGGAAAACATCTTTACTAATGCAAGATTTTGTCTTTCAGGAGGCGTGGTAAGCTTCGTCATTGTGACCAAAGCATCATCAAAACTCTGTTTTTCACATTCTTAAATTTTAAAATTACATTGAAAATAACAACTTCGCATTTGATGGAACCATGACTGTCGGCATAACATGACCTTTACACTATACAACTAAGTCTCTAGAAATAATAGTTGTATTCTGCATTTCTGTTCTGCATTTAAAGTACATTCTGTTGAAGTATCAAGTAAGCTTGGACTTCATTAAAGATGATGAAATGTGCCTTAAAACACCACTTTTTGTTATTTATACATACAATTTTAAAATAAATCAAGTTGATATTTTGACGTTTACAAAATTATAGTACGTAAAAAAAATTAAAATAATACATAATTTTAATTCTCAATCAAATTGTTGAATGAAGATCTTGAAAGTCAGTAAATCAGTTAATTTAAATTTAGTAGCAAAAACCTATTCGGACAGTATTACAAAATTTTAATTTCATAGTATATTTTAAATATATGAAGCAATAGTTGTTTTATATTCAATCAACAGAAATATCGTAGTCAAGAAAAATCATCTAGAGTTCAGAAGACCTCATACCTTGTTATATCAACGTAACAATTACAAAATTTCAAAATTAGCGCTCAAATAAAACTAATTACCTTCTTAAGTCACTTAGCAAAATGAATAACGAATTGCAGAGCATGGATAATACTAAACCGTAAGTATATTAAACATATTCATAACATTTTTTAAAGAGATTTTTATCATAGTGAACCCATGGATGAAACTAACGGTTATAACGTTGATCAGAGTTTATCTGAGACAACGGGCACCTCGTCTGTAGCATCAGGTACCTCGACTGAAACATCGGGTGCATCGACTGAAACATCGGGTACCTCGTCAGAATCATCGGGTACCTCGTCAGAATCATCGGGTTTCCTATTTGAAGTATTGGGTACCTCGTCTAAAACATCGGGTGCCTTGTCTGAAGCATTGGGTACCTCATATGAAGCATGGAGTACCTCTTCTGTAGCATCGGATACGTCGTCTGAAACATCGGATACTCTATCTGAAGCATCGGATACTCTGTCACTGGCGATAAATATTGATGATACTATGAACCTACCAAGCGCTTTAAGTATATTAATACGGTAATTTAAGAAATAATTACATTATATACAAAAAAATTGTTAGAGATATTTATCATAGTAAACCCATTAATGAAAAAGACGCTAATAACGTTGGTCAGAGTTTATCTGAAGCACAAGGTACCTTGTCTAAATCATCGGGTACTTCATCACTGGTGCAAAATATTGATGACACTATGAACCCATCAAGTTCTGAAAGCATAACAAAACAGTAATTAATTAAATAATTTCATTTTATAAAATAAAAATAATATTTCTTTGGATTTTGATTTAACCAGATCATCAAAAGCCTCATGGGTGTACGCGGAACCTAACGGTGGCGTTCCATTCGACATCTTTGATTTGGCTAATGACTTACCAGGCCTTTCTGAAGACGATACGCGAAGGATTCATTTTTTCGGTGCAATAGAAAATACAATTAATTATAGCAAGGAACACCGAATACGCTTAACACTAAGACGTTGTAATCGTTCAAATATATAACATTAGATGCTATTAAATATAATATTTAAATATATTATTTATTATATTAAAATTTGATGTAATATAATTTCTTCATTCAACAAAATATTTTAATATTATATTTAATGTTTTATATTCAATATATTTTTTTTCAGTTTTAGTACAAGTAATATTTTCTGTAAAAAAATCTTTTATTGAGAATTCAGTTTTTGCGAAGACCCCAAACGTACAGTCGTCTTAAGATATGAACATATCACTAATGCAAAATGTGCTACCTTCACTTAACTTAATCGATTTATATGTATCAGTGTCCATAATTGGTTAGGAGAAAATTAAAAATCACGGCCTCTTTTCTTACCCACCAGATGAGGTGTCATCTTGTAAAATTATGGACATGGCCCAGTTTACAGACTTGACAAGATGGTTAAATATCATTTGAATAAGAGAGCCGTACCTTTCAGGGTTGCTTGTACACTGACCTCTATGAAAAACGATAATCCGTGGTATCAAGAAGAACCATTATTTAAGCTTCCCTTTTGCATGAAACATAAGGGATATTTACCGAAGTAATGCAAAACCGATCCTGGTGGAGAAATCCCGAAGAAAAAGCGAGGATGTTTTAATCCGTATAGTAAGCTGTAGCAGTTGGATACATCACTTCGGTTAAGGCCGGTTTGGTGTCGGTAAAGACTTCCAGCTTGCCACCTACAAAAGAACTAAAAAAAATATGTTTTGCAAAATTCACAGCTATGCCATCCGATGTAATATCAACATAATTCAAAGACTCAAGATTCTCGAAGATATTGTTAACGCCCCGTGATACTTTTAAATGTCGATATTAACCGAGACCTTGACGTCCTAACAGTTGCTGAGGAAATTAAAAGACGACAAATCTGTCAGGTTTCTCGACTCTGACGACTCGATGGAATGAAGCCACGTAATCTATTCATAATCTAATTTAATTGTCATTTAACTTAAAGTATGGCTTTTAAAAATCTTTTAATAAAAATTTATGATGGCATTAAAGGGAAATATCCCTTATAGTTTCGTATAATTAGTTATAGGTAAGATTCAGTTAGGTGAAGTAAAGAGAGGAACAAAACATCCACAACCGGCTAGGAAAGACTTTTTGATTCCACAATTCTACGCATTAGTGGTTAGAAGAATGGTCATATTAGAGCCAGCCCGAAGCATTTATAAATGCGCGTGTCTGTCTAATGCTAGTGCTGCAAATATCGCCGAGTGTGTTGCGGACCGGAGCACTCAAAAGTTTCAGATAACTAGTTTTTATGTAATAAAAACAATTTTTTTTACAGTGTACTACAGATTTTTAGAAATAATTTGACACTCAGGTGTAAAAATAATGACCGTACGACACAAAACATGACAACATTGTACGCAACTGTTTAAGGCTTGAATTTAGTACAACAAAAGTGTCACAAACAAAATCAACAACAATGATAACAACAACATCATCAACTAAACAACAAAAAAATTATGGTGTCGGATTAAAACGCATAAAGAAAATTATCAGAAACACATCTCGCATTCAACACCTCAACAGCAACATTGGCAGCAACATTTACCGACAACACTAACAATACCAACAATAACAACAACCAACGGAAGCATCATCAGCACCAACAACACTTGTCTATTGTCAGCCAGCAATTATTGTTGCTGAAAGGCTGCTGTAGTTGTTATTGTTGTAATGTTGTTGTAACGAATATAGTATATCGACAACATCAATTTCTCAAACAACAACAACAAAAAGACATGTACCATAGAAAAATATATGTGGAAGTATGTCATGGAATAGCAGAGAAATGCAGACTGAAGAGTGAGTGACTCTTCAGGTGCTTTACGGAATCGATGTTGCTGGTGTGAACTGACCTGATAATGTGTTTCGAAATCATTTTAATTTAATTTATTTTGATTTTATGAGCTGATGACATAATAAAAAGAACTATAAATATATATAGCTATTCTAAAATCAAAGCCAAAATATTTTACTTAGTTCTTACTATGTCACTGGACTTCTCTAGATAATATGAAGATTATCATCTTACTAAATCTGTAAGAAGGTGCGAAGCAATATAAATTAAATAGAAACGTTTTTCAAAGATTAGATCACGCAACACAAGTACCTGTAAAGTCACCAGGATCAGCTGTAACGACATATTATGCCAAGAGTAAATCTAAGTAGTGTTTTTTGTCGATCAAAAGAACTGGAGAATGCAAATTGGCATATTAACTGGACTCTATCTAATTGCAACACATGCGTATAAACTTAAAAGCTCTTACCAATAAGGTTTTATGTTCTACAAATTTCGGGCTGCATACCAAGCAATATAATACCAACATTATTCAAAAGCTTCAAATTAAGATTCTTCAAAATATTCCAAAATATTGTTAATGACCTATGGTAAGTTCCTAACAACTCAACAGTTGCGGATGAAATTGAAGAACCTCCGGAATTTCTTTGCAAGCTGCTCCAGAAACATGTAAACGAAGAAACTAATAAACGAAGAAAACTCCGACATTTATATTTGAAGAATTTTAGCGTGTAGTAACAAATAGATTATGCTAGAGTTGCCACATTGAAGAGGATACAAATTCCACTAAACATATTTTAGGTTATTGAATGAAATTACAGACGAAATGACTGCAATGTCTTCTTCTGTGTGCTGTTCAAAATATCTCAGTGAAATTAAAAATGCAGAACATGTTCTTTTTAATGATCTGGCAATAAGAGACGAACCATTCACAAAGTTAGAACCTCACAGTCTTCACAGTTAGAACCTCATATCCAACAGATATCAGATCAATCAGTATCAGATGATCAATAGTGGACGGTTCAGTCAACAGTAGCAGCAATTATTACTGAACTCCGACGACGATTCGAATTTGAGCTATGAGCACATAACAGTCTTCCTCCCAACAGTCATTCCACAAGGTACCATCTGTTCAAGAGGGAGGAAATATAAGCTAAAGGCAACCATTGACTAAAGCTTTCGAATTTAGAGCTACTCGCTTAGGACGGTTTACTTAATGAAATACAATACATTCGTTCCAGAAGAAACCAACTGTTCAGACGAGAGAAGATGTTAGTTAAAGTCACTCACTGACTTAGATTTCCTGCTAAAAGAAAAATGGTCGCGTCATATTTGCGACAGAAAGCGTGCTTGCCCATTAAATAGACAGTAAACGGTTATAAGATACATTAGATCATTTTGAACAACTATACTAGCCAGCGTACATTGGTTTTTTTTTTTGGCGTGAATGATGCGTCTATTTTAGATTTATTTTTTTGTTTACTTCCACTAAAATTATTTTCACAAATTTATTTGTAAAAATAATCCCTCTATATATCATGAAAACTTTTCTTTTATGAGAAATTTGCGATTTCATTTTAATCCTATTGATTATTTTCACAATGCCATCTAGTGAGCGAAAAATTATTTATTTGTTTATTCAAAGCCAAAGCAACAACCAAATGACATATAAATTTAAAAGTGGTCTTGGATTAAAAATCCCTTATTATTAAAGATTACAACCGATTTAAACAAATACAACAACCATTTAATTGCGGATAAAATATTTAATATCGTATAATACGATCTATGAATGTGCATCTTAGAACGTATTATTACTATCAAAAACCGTATTAATACGGTCTTTGCGGATATTTACAAATACAGGGTTCGTGTCACAACTAAATATTATAAACAGTTTGTTGACAGCAAAATGTTCGGATATTTTGTGTGGATTAATACTAATTTCAATTTCTAACAATTTATTTTACTACTGATAAGGTAAATTAATAATTAATAAATTAATAATCTATTAATTCCCCAACTGTCTAGTGGAAAAAAAAAATTTTATCACAATAATCCCTATTAATCTAAAGTGATCCTACAAGATCTTGCTGATATTGTCATATGAATAATCTGTGATATCAT